CTCGATGGAAGCCCGACCTCAGGACCACAGACACTAGAACAAGGCCCAGGTAGGGGGGCAGGGGGAGGTAGGCAGAGCTGGGTGCAGCCCCCCAAGGACACAATCTGGAGAGGTTTCTCTCTGGGAGTAGCTGGTCACCTCACCTCAGGCGGGGGCTGGTCTTGCGCCACCTAAGTCATAATATCCTCCAGGGGCCCTCTGGACTCCCAGGCCTGCCTGGCCCTCCGGGACCTCCTGGACCCCCTGTAAGTACTGGGCAGAGGGCTATGTGATGGGCTTGGCTCCTCAGTCCTCAAGTGCCCCTCCCCTTCCCCCACGCCCACGCTCCAGGACTGAAGCAGAGACTTGGTGACAGTCAGGACTCTGGCCCAAGGCAGGTGGTTTCTGTCATTGTCATGTGCCCTGCAGACAGGCCAGCAGCTCTCAGCTCTGGCCAAATGGGGGGAAAGGTCCCAGGCCCCTGCTGGGTGGTGGGTGTGGGGAGGGTGGAGAAGGGTGGGTGGGCAGTGTCACAGTTAGCCATCTCTGTTCCAGGGTCACCCAGGGGTCCTCCCCGAAGGCGCTACTGACCTTCAGGTGCGCAGTTTGTGAAGGGCGCTGGGGTGCCTGTCTTGGTGGGAGGGGGCTCTGGCTCGAACACCTGCCTCAGAGACCCGACTGAGAAATCAGCCTGTTCCCTCCCTGCAGGAAGGCAGGAAGGGGTCCAGGTACAGCTGCCCCATGCCCTCCCCACCCCACCCTGCCACCAGTCCAGCCCTGCACGGGCCACACACAGCAGTGAGAATACAAATTAGGCAAAATCCAATTGCAAACAGTCCAGCTCCTCGGCTCAGCCACACTTCTAAGGCCCTGGGCTGCACCTGGCCAAGGTCAGTGGCACTGGGTGCTGCAGACAGAATGTGCCATTGCAGAAGGTTCTGGACTAGAGTCTGGGACTCACTGTTATCTTGGCCTTTGAGCCTCATCACTTGTGTAAAAGGGGAGACTGAGGCTGGGGCGGCCAGATCTGTGTCTCCGCCCAGTGCAGCTGGACCAAGTCATTATCTGGCCTTTGCCAGGAGCAGCTTGTGCTCCTGACAGGAAAACTGGGGGAGCTGGCTCACCCTCTGGTGCTGTCTGCCAGCTGTTCTCACACCAACCCGTGTCCCAGAGGGAGGGGGCATCTTCCAGAATGAAGACAATGGCTGAGCCCCTGATGGGTCTGCCCAGACACTGGGGCCGAGATCCAGGGCCCCGGCTCCATGCCAGATCAGCCATGGAATGATCTAGAAGCCTCACACTTCCCCCCGGCCCCCCCCAACATGGAGCATCCAGTCTGTGCCCAAGGAACACATGCTTCCTCCTGAAGCACATTTGTGCGCCCCAACGTTCCCTGCGGGGGCCAGGCCTCAGATGAAGGCTCCTTTGTGAGGCCAGCAGACACTCACTGAATAGCTTGCCTTGAACCTGCGGCGCCCGCACTGAGGCTGAGAAATTGGAGCCGGGCTTGCGAGGAGGAGGCCCCGGGGCCTGGCAGCCGCGGTCCAGCTCCTCAGAGCCTGCAGCCAACCCTGAATAAGCCCTGTGTGGGCCTTCACATTCGCAATGGCCCCTCTCAGGGCCCCTGCGTGCTGAGCTCGGTGTTGGAGCCCTGCTCAGAGCTGCCATGGGACCTTGTTGTCTGGGAGGGCTCTGACCACTCTGTTTTCCAACAGTGCCCAGCCATCTGCCCCCCAGGGCCCCCTGGCCCCCCAGGAATGCCAGGGTTCAAGGTAAGTAGTGTGGCCACGGGATGACTCAGATCCAAGCCCACCTTCATACCCCACAGGAGGTAGCCTAGCCCCTACGTGGGCTGAGATGGGGGGAGATGGGGGTCCAGAAGGCGGGGCTGGCCTCCCACCCTGTCTGGAGGCCTTGCTCTGTCTCCCGCATCAACCCTGCTGACCCATGGTCGCTGAGAGAGCTGGCATGGTCAGCCCCCCACCCCCCTTCCCCGGTGCAGCCGTGCCCTTATGACCAGGCCTGTCCCCGCCTGGGCTGGCTCTCCATGGGCCCTTGGTTCAGGGCTGCTTGGGGGTCAGGCTGTGACTCGTCACCCACCACTGGCTTTCAGGGACCCACCGGCTACAAAGGGGAGCAAGGAGAAGTCGGCAAGAGTGGCGAGAAGGTACTTGGGTGATGGTGGGTGCCCGCTCAGGTGCTGACAGCTGGCGTGGAGGGCACTTGGGGCAGGATGGCTGGGACTGTGGCAGTGTGGTGAGGTGAATGATTGGGTGCTGGTGGCATCCAGGGTGTGCCCTGATTGAGTGGCACTATGCACACCTCCCCAGCGGGCCTGGCTGCCCAGAACCAGGTGATTTGGGACAGGATCTCTGGATAGACCCGCTCCCACCCCAGCCAGCTTGGGCGGGCCCCACTGGTGGCCAGAGAAGGTTGGCTTTAGCTTGATGTGTCCCCTAGCAGTCCCTGCTACCCTCTGCCCATGGAGGACATCTGTCCTTCTTCGCCCACAGGCTGGGAGTGGGGCTGGGTGCCCTCCAGTATGGCGGGAGTGGCCAGATTGCCATGTGGGTAGCAGTGGAGACCCACCCCAGCCAGGAGGAAGTACCTGGGAACAGCGGGGAACCTGGATGGAACAGAAGCCACGGGATATGGCTCCACTTCTCTGGAGGAGGGCCAGTGTGGGGGGCGGGGCTGGCAGGCATGGGAAGGGGCTGCGAGAGCTTAGGGCTGACCCCACTCTGGTACCATCACTTTCTCCGCCTTCCCTACAGGGTGACCCTGGCCCCCCTGGGCCCGCTGGCATCCCTGGCACAGTGGGACTGCAGGTGAGTTGGAGAGGGGCTGGACAGGGGTGACGACAATGCCGGATGGGAGCCCCTTGGACAGCTTGAGGCTGCAGGGGACTGTCCACCAACACCCACAACAGGAACATGTCTGGGGCCCTGCATCTCAGGCTGCTAATCCCAGGGGTTTATGGTCCCGCCTCCTCCAGGGCTTGAACTGAGGGCTTCTAGGGAAGCCACCAGGGCCCCTCAGTGGCTCCCAGGGTGGGGCATGCAATCCTAGGGGGCTGTGGCCTGGGCCCTGCATCTCCAACTCTCTCCCAATAGGGCCCTCGGGGGCTCCGAGGACTGCCAGGGCCGCTCGGGCCCCCCGGGGACCGGGTAAGTCCACCAGTGCCCACCTGCCCACACCGTGGGGGGTTGTAGGCCAGCCCAACATCAGCCCAGGTGGTTGGGGGGCCACCTCCAGACTCACCAGTGGCCACAGGTGGGCCTTGTGACTTGCCAAGGCTTGCTCTGGGCCTCCCTTCCCTCAGTTGTCCCCAAAGCTGGGGCTGTGAAGGCTTCTGTGCCCAGGTGCAGGGGGATGAGACAGGAGGCAGGCATTGGCAAATGGGGGGGGTTTGGGGACCCCTGGCCGGCTAACTAAGGAGGGGCCTGCAGGGGTGCTGGGGGTGTGGTGCTTGAGGCACGACCTCTCCAGATGGAGCAGGGTCCTCTGTGGGATGCTGGCCGGGCTCAGAAGTGAGGCCCAGATGCCCCCTCTTCTCCACAGGGTCCCATCGGGTTCCGAGGACCCCCCGGGATCCCAGGAGCCCCTGGGAAAGCGGTATGTGTGAGTCTGGGGTGGAGGGCAGCCCATGCAGGCCCAGGCTCTCTGTTCCCTCCTCCCTTCCCACTGAGACGCCTCCCCAGCCCTATGGGCTGTGCTGGCCCTTCCCGGGGCTGAGCCGTTCAGTTGTGTGGACACACCTGGGCAGGTACCCATTACACACCTAGGGGCTAGTTTACCAAAGGACTCTATCTGTCCTTCGTGAAAGATTTGCACTCTGTCTTTCTGAACATAGAGTGAGGTGTGGTTAGCATCCTTCTGGCCTCTGCGACCCTCAGCAGCATCGGTGCTACCACCTTTGACCACTTCTGGGCTGACCCCGGCCAGTCACACCTCAGTCTAACTCTCCTACCTGCTTGAGTTGTGAACTCTGTCCCTGTCCCCCCTTGTCATTTCAGGGTGACAGAGGCGAGAGGGGCCCAGAGGGGTTCCGTGGCCCCAAGGGTGACCTTGTAAGTGAGAAACTTGCTCCTCTGGGTCTTTCCCTGAAAGAGCCTGACCTGCGGTGATGGGGAGGGCACACGGACAGCACGTGCTGGGGACACAGGGTGGCTGCCCTTTCCTGGGGGTGAATGGGGGTGACCCACTGGGCACGTGGGGGCCTGGCCTGCCTGGGAGCCCTCCACCTCATTTCCCCAGAGGCTTCTTGAAGCTGCTGTCATCTGACAAACTCCTTCATTCCCCTGGAGCAATTGGGCTGGGCCACAGGACCAGACTCCTGGGTGCAAATGCTGGCCACGGATGCACGTTCATGGAGAGTCCCTGGGCTGTAGTGCTTGGGCTTGTGCCAGGGTTGTACAGCTGGGAAATGAAATGGCACAGAGCAAACGAGTCTTGAGTTAAGCAAACATAAGTAAAGGGGAGAGGTGAATGACAGTCCCCAAACTGGCACTTGCCTGCAGACGCTAACCAGTTCTTTCCTGGACTGAGCCTGGCCTCCCAATGCTGCAGTGTCCACAGGGCCCAAACACAGGGCCCTGCACTGGGATTGGCCAGTGCAGCTGTCTCCTCCGCCCAAGAACAACACCTGGGGGCCAGGTATACAGCCCCCTCGAGGCCGCTGAGGAACTAGTGAGATAACCTGGGAGGGACGTTCCTCACTGTTCCAACTACAGTGACTCTCCTGTCTTCTAGGGCAGACCTGGTCCCAAAGGAGTCCCTGGAGTGGCGGGGCTGGTTGGAGAGCCAGTAAGTCCCTGCAGCAGCCACAGCACAGGGCAGACACTGGTGTCCCTACATGGAGCCAGCTGTCCTGCCCTTGCATTGCTGTTGCTCTCGGCCAACACAACACTTGCTGTCATCCACACCTGTGTCCTGCACCTGTATCCCCCAGGCTCCAGGCGCATGTGGCCCTCACTGGGTTAACGCTCCCCTGTCATCCTCTGGAAACATGTAGTAGTGGCTGAACAGTCTCATTTTCATTTTCATGGAGCCTCAAATTCTGTGTCCATCCAACCAAGGAGAGGGTGTTTGGTTGAGCTTGTCTGTAATTGGAGACACATGAGATGTGGGTGGGTAGGACCAGCAAACACAGGTGTGGGACACCCACTCTCTGTACCCATGCCCCCTTGTCCCTGCTATGTGTCCACACTCAACCCAGACCCTCTGGGCCCCTCCCCACCCATCCCAGAGGACAGATCCTGGTGTTCCCCTCTGAATAGGGGGTGGGGAGACCGGGCTGAGGGCGGTGAACGAGAGAGACGCTGCCGCCCAGCCACCTTCCCAGGACTTGGCTGCGTCTTCAGTTCCAAATTAGTCAAGAGTGTGGGATCAGACAAGCTTGCGCCCAAGTCCTGGCTCCCAAGCCTCAGTTTCTCCATCTGTAAGACAGGACTCCTCTAGGGACTGTGAGGAGTCTGAGCAGAGGTGGAGGGTGGCAAGTGGTCCCGCAGGTGCTTGATGAGATCAGGGCGTGTCCTCTCCACCCGCACCTGCCACACCCCACACCTGGGTAGTCTGAGGGTGGCACAGGTTACTAACCTGTGGCCACTGAGCTGTGAGACCGGTTCACGTCCGCTGGCCCAGGAGGCACAGTCAGTGCGGGGAGATGGGAACTACCCAAGCAGATGGCCTGGAAGGCGACGGGACTAGGAAGGGGGGGTAGTGGGGGGCATGCCACCTGCCATGCCTCATCCCATTGCCTATCCCCAGGGCATGCCGGGCAAGGACGGCCGGGATGGCGTGCCAGGACTGGATGGCGAAAAGGTTGGTACTTGGCCAGTTAGCCTGCAGGGGAGGAGGGATCTGCGGGGAGTTCAGCCTCCTAGGCCTCAGCACCCCATCACCTCCAAATTTTCCACAGGGAGAGGCTGGTCGCAATGGTGCCCCAGGAGAGAAAGGCCCCAACGGGCTGCCGGTGAGTGCGTGGGGCTCCCAACAGGGCCTGGGGACTGTGCAGTGGGTGCTCCCAGGACGGGGTTGTCTCCTGTGAGTCCCTGACGGGCTCACACAGGGGCCTCTGCAAAAAAGAGCCCCTCACCCTTTGGGGGTGCTCTGCCTCTGGCCCATGTGCTCTCCTGTGGACTTGGCAGTTATGACCCCTGACCCCTGTCCTGCAGGGTCTCCCTGGAAGAGCGGGGTCCAAGGGTGAGAAGGGAGAACTGGTAAGTGGCTTCTTTCTCGGGGTGGGGGGCTGGGAGGGGAGGGGAGGCCAGCCCAGGGTCTTGAAAAGAGGGCTGTGACCATGCACTCAGGGTTCCCCTCTGTGCAGGGCAGAGCCGGAGAGCTGGGCGAGGCCGGCCCCCTAGGAGAGCCTGGCATCCCGGTGAGTATCCACAGCCCTCACGCCCACCCCGAGAGCACAGACCCTGCTGACACCCTCCCCCCTCCCCGTCCCCATTCGCAGGGAGACGTAGGCGTGCCCGGGGAGCGAGGCGAGGCCGGCCACAGGGGCTCAGCGGTGAGTGGGGAACGAGCGTGGGTGGGGACTGGTGTGGAGCCACCACCACATGACCCCGTTTCTGTGTGGGCTGTGGTGGTGTTTGGGATGCACCAAGGGGCTGAGCCCATGAGTCCCAGGAGGTGGTGAGGGCCAGGTCTGAGCTGTCCTGCCCTTGAGACGTCCGTGCTGAGGGAACAAAGCCATGACACCAAGCCTCAGCCCCGGGAGGTGCTGTGGAAGAGCTCCAAGCCGTGGGTTACCACCACGTGTGGAGAAAACGATGACCCAGCCACAGTGCCCAGAGGCCTGGGCACCAAGGCTGGCTGATGTGTGAGGTCCCAGTGTGTGACTGACCTGGCCTCTGGGACTGCCCAACTACCTCCTAGGACACCCCCACCTCTGTCCCTCCACAATTGGGCCTGATGGCTGGGGCCCAGCTCCTGTGTCTTCCCAGCCCCTGGGAGGCAGAGCTGGACTCACTTTCCTTCTGATTTCAGGGGGCTCTTGGCCCACAAGGCCCTGCTGGGGCCCCTGGCATCCGAGGCTTCCAGGTGGGTGAGGTCTGGGGGTCTGGGGCCAGGGTTTGTGCCCAGTGAGCCCAGGTGGGCCAGCTGGGCGGGGAGGGGTCCTGCTGGGCTCCCTATGGGTGCTGACCAGCTGTTTTTTGTCTGTAGGGCTGGAAGGGCAGCATGGGGGACCCCGGCCTGCCTGGCCCCCAAGGCCTCCGTGGCGGCGTGGGCGACCGGGTGAGTGGCTGTCCCAGCAAGGGTGTCCTGATCATTCACTGGGAACAGTGACCCTTTGCTCTACAATAAGCATCCTTTAAACTGCTGTGGCTGTCACTGCATCTAACTTTTCCAGACTTTCCTAGTGGTCTTGTGACAGCCAGTCGGTTCACTGTGGGGGTCCCTGTTGTCCATGACAGTGGGGGCACAGACGTCCCTAGGCTGGCTGGTGGCCCCCAGGTGACCAGGTGCCTGAAGGACCTCTGGGAGGAGGCTGGCCTCGGCTGCCCACCCCGGCTCCACTCTGTGGGCTCTTCAGACGTGTACTCAAGGCCTTAGGAAGGCCTCACCTGCCTCCAGACATTGCTGCAGCCGGGAGGCCCAGGAGCCATTATCTGAGATGTGTTGGGGGGAGGGGAGACATGGAAACCACTGGCTTGTGGTGGGGATAACAGGCCCTTCATGAGCCTCCAGGGGAAAGTTCCAGAGGTCGGGAGGTCCAACAACGCCAGGGCCTCTGAGTGGGTGGAGGTTGAGGCCAGCTGTGAGCCTGCACACACCCTCGCCTGCAGTCGCCACAGTCATGGGCAGGCTCCCACTTGGTGTCCTTGGTTCTCACACTGCTGACTGAGCACATGGACCATTTGTATGTTAATGCTTCAGGGAAAGCCTCAAAGTTCCCAGAGGGCCTCAATGTCACAAGTTCTGGCGCCTTTGAGTCAGCAATCCCAACACTGAAGTCAGCCCAGGACTGCGGGTGTGAAGGTCCCTGCACCTTCCAGGTTTAGAGACACCTGTTAAACAGTAGTGTGATGCTGCGGAACCCCTAAGCGACAGGCGGTTCCACAGGAAGATTCTGAGACACCCAGGGGAGATGCACCTGAGCCTGGCCTTGGGACTGAGCAATCGACCAGGGAGGGAGCACACACCTTCGGCTCCCTGATTCTAATGCTGAGCCCTCTCTCTGCGCAGGGCCCGGGAGGAGCCACAGGCCCTAAGGGAGACCAGGTGAGCTGCTGGGCAATAGGGCCAGATGCAAGCTCCCCGGCTCTGAACTCCCCTCAGCAACTGGCTTCATTTCCCTCCCCTGTCTTTGTCTTTTGCTCTCACACGCTTCTCGCTCCCTCCCAGCGGTGACGACAGCTCTGGGCACTCAGCCTCAGAGCCAGACCTGGGACAGGGTGGCCAGCCCCACCCCCACATCACTGGCTGCCTCCTGGGACCCTTGGGGAGGGTGTGTTCCCTCCTGGTCTGGGACAGGGACAGGGGCAGGTCTGGGATCAGCCCCCTTTTCCAGGCAGCACTTTCCTCCCTGGAGCCTGAGGCCCCGCTGGTGCTCTCACCTCCAGGCCTGGGACCTAGAACAATCTCCTGGGGAGAAAAGCCTCTTCATGTCAACAGCTGGTGTCTGCCTGGCTCTCGGGCCCCAGGCCCCTGAGGTGTGGGAGCAGCTTCAGTGCGAACAGCCCTTTAACTTCGGGTGTCCTTTCAGGGTATCGCTGGTTCCGATGGTCTTCCCGGGGACAAAGGCGAACTGGTGAGTGCTCACGTCGGCCTCACTGTTGTAACAACCGGAACAGTCTGGCCACAGCTGTGGTCGAGGAAGGATGAGAAACGCCAAGCTGGGTCAGCAAGGCAGGCCACTGCCCATCCTCTGCTGTCCTGGGGGGAGAGGTGACCACAGGCCTGTCCTCCTGCAGTGATGCTGCCTACAAGGGGCTCCAAATGTGGCCTTTGGAGTGAACTAGTCGCAGCTGAGTTTTAACAAAAGAAAACTCCCCTTCTGCTGAGCTAGAGTGGAGGTTAGGGCTACAGTCAAGCCCTCCGCTCATCAACAGACTCATGTCCTGGAAGTGACCGCAGGAGCGTCCTAGAGCTTAAAGGGTCTCGCTGGCTCCCACAGGCCAGGGTTCCTAGTTCTGCATTGAGCCTTTCCTCTGGGTGAGACTGAAGTGGCTCATTCGGCATCCTTGTGTCTCTGGTCGAGCCTCACGCCCAGTGCAAACTTTTTTCCCCCTACGGTTTTGTATTGATTTTTAGAGAGAAAGGGAGAGGGAGAGAAACACTGATGTGATGTGAGAGCAAAACAGGGATCCATCGGCCGCCTCCTTCATGCCCCCTACTGGAGATAGAGCCCGGAACCGGGCATGTGCCCTGACTGGGAATCAAACCTGCAACCTTTTGGTGCACAGGACAACACTCCAACCAACTGAGCCTAACCAGCCAGCACCCCAGTGCAAACTTTTTACATCTCCAGCCCAGATAGTCTCAGGTGTGTGTATGTTCATTGTGGTGAATTCCTAGACAACCTTGACACATGGGGCCCTGGGAACCCAACGCCCATTCATCCGACAGGTGGGCAGTGCCTTCAAGCTGGGAAAGCTCCCCCTCCCCAGCTGTGCTCAGGCTGTGTGAGCTGAAAGCCTTGCTCCTGGTCTCCCTTCTGGCCTCAAGGGGCGCAGACCATGGAGTCTGGGCTGTCACCTAGACGGCCATTTGGATATCTGGTTGGAACTGTGTACCCAGTTACACCTAGGTAGGCGGCCGCCTGAGGACTCAGCTGGGGAAAGGGCTTGAGGCACAGAGGCCTGGGCACCTGGGTGACAATAGAAACAGAGTGGGAACAAGTGAGGGTGTATGTGAGAAGGTACTGTACAGCGACCAACACACCTCTAGGGAATGAAGTTCAGGAAACATCAGTAGATATAATACAATCTGAGTGATATAAAAACTGAACCTGGCCCTGGCCAGTGTGGCTCAGTTGGTTGGAGCGTTATGCTGAGCACTGAAGGGTCACAGGTCTGATTCCTAATCAGGGTACGTGCCCAGGCTGTGGGTTCAATCCCCAGCTGGGGCACATGGGAGGCAGCCAATTGATGTTTCCCTCTTACATAGATGTTTCTTTCTCCCTCCCTCAAACTGAACCTAGAATAGAGGGAGTAACATTTCGCCAATCACACAGCAGTTTCGTGGCTGATCTGACTTTATTTCCTCACTAATAACGTGCCGGGTCAATTCCTTGGCAACTAGTTCCCACCCAAACAATAACAGGTGAGTCATTAAAATGCTCAACTTCTCTCTTGCAGGGACCCAGTGGACCTGTTGGACCCAAAGGAGAGGTGAGTGGCTGCCCGACGGTCCAATGACAAACTGCAAAGAAACCCACTGGCCTCCTGGGCCACCGCAGGGCCCCAGGCCAGCTGCACGTCATAAATGCTTGTTCCTTTCGGAAGTTGGGTGGCAGCTGTGGGGTGGCTGCCCCAACCCACCAGTTCCTGCTGTCTCTCCCCAGCCCGGCAATCGAGGGGAGCTGGGCCCAAAAGGCATCCAGGGTCCCAACGGCACCAGTGGCGTAGAGGGCGTCCCGGGCCCCCCCGGGCCCGTGGGCTTCCAGGGCATACAAGGCATGCCTGGCATCACCGGGAAACCTGGAGTCCCAGTATGTGTCCTTCCTCTCAGGGTGTGGTAGTCGGGGGCCTCAGTGAGATGCCAGCGTGCCCCCACGGACTGACCAACTTTGGGGTGAATTTCAGGGGAAGGCAGCCAGTGAGCAACGCATCAGGGAGCTGTGTGGGGGCATGGTCAGTGGTAAGTGCCGGCCGCCTCCCCACCCCA